CAGAAAGTGCCTGGGATCTCCCAGCTGAGGGGCTGCTGCAGCACCAGAGCACCCACGGCCCGGCCCCGGCGGCCCCAGCCTTTGGCCGCTGACTGCTGTCAGATGCCCAGGATCTGGGAGCGCACACGCTGACGTGCTTTCACAGAGATCGAGCAAGATCCACAGAGAAGTTTACATTTGTCAGCTCCTAATCCCCTGCTGAATTCATCACATCCCTCTTTTTCAAAACTTTTACCGATACCTGACAAAGAACTTGGTCTGTCGGGGACAAAGACATGAGGACAACAATGTGTCCCCTGACCAAGGCTGCCACTAGGTCCAACCTCCCTGGTCCCCCATGACTGCCTCAGCCAGGTCCCGTAAAATGGAGCCCCCTTTCAAGCCACTAAGGCGGGCGCCTCAGGGGCTCAGTGCCCCCCACCCCCACCCACCACCAACGGCTAGTCTTTGCCCTGAGCCTTGCGCTATCAGGAGCTCTGGCTAATGGCTTACTTAGGACATTTGCCACCTGGCCGTGTGACCTCCATTCAAAATACGTGCCCTGATTCCCTTCCACCTTCAGTATCCAAACTAGAAAGGGCATTTAAGGACTTCGACTCATATCCAGAGAAATGTTTTAAGGGTATGAAGCCCCCTGAGAGGGTGAGTCAGCCTGGGGGCATCCCAAGGCGCTGCTCTCCTGCCCTGCTCCAGGATGGCAGTGTTCCTCAAAGGCAACCCAAAAGTCAGTGGCTTCCCAAAGGAGCCACCCGTGGGACCACACCAGGCCCAGAGCAACGTCTTGCTTGGCGCTTCCGGCTAGGGCTCTGGCATTCTTCAGGGAGGGACTCCAAGAAAGGGCAAAAAGGAGGGGCTGGAGCTTCATTCCTTCCCCCCTTAAGAAACATTCCTGAGACTGCAGGGGGCCTACTGACACCCAGCTGGTGCACAGAATGCTCCCTAACGAATCCCCAACCGCCCATTTGAAATTCTAGGCCCTCCAGTGACATTTCAGAGATCAGGCCCCTCCCCTAACCCCCACTGATGTTTTACGTCTGCTGAATCGATGGAGAAAGGAACTTGCAAAAACAGGGAACCACGTACGTCCATTGTATCTGTTTACACGGGGCCCCGGATAACCCACATCGAAATGTGGCCTTCGAAATACCAACAAGTCAAAATCTTTGTGGTTTCTTAGGACACAGACATCACTTCTACTCCCTGTCGGACAGGAGCATGGAAAAACAGCAGTATCGTGTGTTTTGTAGCCCTAGTAAAATGTCAAGCTAGAAGCCAATGTAAAGGTGCTGAGCGGATACAAATCTGGGTGGCCACCTTTCAGCAGAGGTCTGGTGGGACTTCACACATGCACTTCAAATTCCAAGAATGCCACTCCTAGGAAAGTTAAGTATCCCTTTTGACTTCAAAACTAGACCCAAAGAAAAGACTGTCTTTACCCAGCAGCCCCACGGAAGGCTCATAAAACACAGCACTCAGGAGTTCCAGCTTCATTTCCTTTCTCCGGCTACAAAAATGCAGATGAGGCAAGTATTTGTTTGAGTTTTACTATGTAAATAAAGCCTATTATCAGGGTCAGCACTTGGGAAGAAAACAGCCCCTCAGGAAAAGCCTTCCAAAAGGCCAGTGTCTTCCCAAAGAAAAATTAACTTGAGCTTTAAAAGCTAAAATCCTTTTAAAAACTCAGGTGCTGACACTGTTAATCAAACAAGGGCAATTTGGCCCACAGGTTAACATCTGACAGTCTGGAGACTTTTGTTGGCTGTCACAGCTGGAGTGGGGGGTACCCGTGGCATCAAGTGAGTGAGGGGGGGCCCAGGAATGCCTCTGAACATCCTACAAAGCCCACAACAGCCCCCCACCACACAGAGTGATGCAGACCAGCCTATCAGGAGTGCCAAAGTCGAAAAATCCTTATCTGATGGATGTGGCAAAGTTATTTAATAGAACACTGCACATGTTTCCAGGCGAACTGAGTAGAGGGGTTAGTGGGGACATTTGGGATGAAGAGATGGTCCTTGGGGGCCTTCTCATGACCTGCCAGGTTTGTGACCTCAGGGCACGCCATTTAACTTCCCTTTGCCTTAGCTGTTTCATCTATAAAACGGGCTGATAAAATTTCTTGGTCCGAAGATCACAGATTCAACCAGCCTTGTTCTTCGCATTCCTCACGGTTCTAAAATGTGCACTCCTCTGAGGGCTTTCAAATCAGACCTCTATTATCAGAAAAAGAGTGTGTCGCTTGTTCAAGCTACCCCCACATCAGGTTCTGTTAAATAGAAAATGAGTTGTATAATACCCCAGGAGTCTTATACGTAAAATATTTAATTACGAGTTTTTTTTAAAAGAAAAAAAAAAAAAGCCGTATTAGAACAATTATAACTTGGGCCCCAAATAACAATTGTTATAATGAGCCCCAAACAGTTTTCAGTAGCTACTGAGGGAGAGTCAAAACTTGGATTAATCCAAATTCTGCAGGTGGAACAATTTTTCCCAGCTCCACCACAACCATGTAGTTCCACTCTTTAAGTGGTTCTAAATGGACACACTTTTCTTCATCCTTTTCTAATAATGTGACAGTTAATTACCAGCTGTTGGAGTGTAAGCAAGCATAATTGATGACTTAATCCAAGAGAAAAGACAGGCATGTGAAATAGTGCCAATACCATGCAACACATAGTTAAAAATACATAATACGTGCGCAAGCATGCACCTCTGCGTGTATATACAAGTGTACCTGGAAACTCAGTACAGACGTCCCAAACTCTCCTGAATCCTTTCTTTTTTTTTTTTTAAGGATTTTACTTATTTATTTGAGAGAGAGAGAGAGAGAAAGAGCATGAGCGCGGGTGGGGAGAGGGAGAGGCAGAGGGAGCAGCAGGAGCCTGACGCCAGGACCCTGGGATCATGACCTGAGCCGAAGACAGGCGCTTAACAGACTGAGCCACCCAGGCGCCCCTCTTCTGAATTCTTCCTATCCTAAGTAAAGAAACCACCAATTTCCAGTCACATTGCAGCATCTATAAAAACTAAGCAGCAGTTTAAGGGAGGGATCTATGGGCCTCTCAAAGAAGAACCCCAAACATTTTTATTCCTGCAAAATCCTGAAACACCATCTGGAAAGGCGGAGTACGGTACACTGGTACTATAGCCCACCCACAAAAACTTTCGAAAGAAAAACAAAACAAAACAGACCAAAAACACCTTAGCAAGTACTCTGCAAGCTAACCAGCAGGCCAAATCAGGAGCAAAGGGCCTCACATGCCCCAAAAAGGCCCTGGTGTGTGTTTTCTGGGTTTTACTGCCCACCTCCCACAGTCTAGACTGGGGCCTCTTGGACAGAGAGAACAGGAGGCCACTAAGGATACACCAGGATTTTTAGAACCTGGAGTACCCACAGAAAGGAGGAGGTGCTCGGGGATCCCCTTCTCCAGCTTCTGGTTAAACAACTGAATCTGAGCTTAAAACGACCTCTAACTCTCTTACACTGTGTAAAGCCAAAAGGCAAGATTTTACCTTAACTAATGTTTTGCAACTTATTCCTTCAATTATAGTAACAAGTCTGAGAAAGATACATTGAATTGTGTGTACACCTCTTTTTTTAAGAGAAATACATGAAATGCTAAGGGTGTTAGTAATTTACCTGCTATTTTTTTTAACTTTTACCGTCAGAAATGCCCTGTAAAACCTTTATTAAACAGGCACAGGGTAACACGCTTTTGCACGCATACAGGCAGGAAAGTACTCTTTCTGGGCAAGCCCTGTACACTTGGCTCACCAGGTTTTCAAAGAACCTAGTTCGTTAATGGGTTACACATTAAATTTATAGCAGCGACAGCCTCTTTCCCCAGTTGAACATAAATTCAATGCCTATCTAAACAAGCCTCCCCTCAGAGTTTCTGGTTTTGTGAATACAAAAATGCGAGAAAATACAGAACAGAAAAGTTTGGTGTCTCATTTGCTATCTTGAACAACAAAGCCACACCACTTCCCAAATTCATCAGGGGTGGGTTGGGTTAGGAGTGACCTTATACCTTCCTGCTGTGGCGAAGCAAGGAAAGTAGGAAAAAACCCAGCAAGTCACCTTCAAACTCCTGCAGTCGCCAAGAATTTTTACATTTTAAAGGGAACTTTGTCCCTAGGAAAAGCCTGACCCAACCCTCCCCAGAGAAACGGACACTTTTAACCAGAAGAAAACAGGATGATAGGTTTGTTGTTTTGTGTTTTCACAGGTCTATGCAAGTTCAGCTGGTCAATTTCAAGATCGATTGCTGTTTAGAGACAAGAGAATTCAAAATGTGAAAGCACCCACCTTCCCTTACCACACACCCTTAACGCAAAACACATTCCTGATGAGACCCATTAGAAACTTATTGGAGCTCAAATCCCACTTTGAAAAAGGACACGGAAGGTTTCGGTACGTGTCTGCAGGTCCCGGAGCGCCACGGATCTAGAGCTGGAAGCCGAAAGTCAGTAAATATTGATGGGCTGATGGGAATCGAGAAGCGGGGCTGGCGACAGCTGCACGTCTGGGTTTCCTAGTGATAAGGGGTTACAGGTTCAAGGGGTGCAGAACCAAAAGCCTTACAGTGACAAATACAGGTGGGGCAGTTCTGTCCACCCCCTGGCACGTGGGACTGTTCCTCCCCAACCCCTGGGCAGCCCCACAGGTGCAGGCCGCCGCTGGCGAAGCCTGGACTGACAGGGGACCCAGCCAGGCCCCTTCTCGAAGGGGGGAGGGGAGAGGACCCGGAACAGGAGCCATTTAAACCCTGCGCGGCGCTGGGAGTCAGCAGGGCTGGGAGCCAGCAGGGCTGGGAGCCGCCGCAGAGGGGCCGGGACCGCGCACCTTTGCGTGTCCCGGTGCCCCGGTCCCTGCAGGTGACCCAGGCAGACTAGCGCCCCCGGGTTGAGGACACGATCGGCCTGTCCCTCCGGCGCCCCCACCCCCGACCCGCGGCCACCTTTGGGCTGTCACCGTGAGGGTCCCGCGGCCGCCTCACCTTGGTGATGACCAGCGGCTCGCCGTGCTCGCGGCCGCCCTTTAGGGTGAAGCCCCACGGGGCGCCGCCGCTCAGCTGCACCTCCACCAAGCGCCCGCCGTCGGGCGCCCGCGCCTCGGCCTCGGCCAGGCGCTCGGGCCGCGCGCGGGGCTCGGCACCCTCCATGGCGCGGAGCGCGGAGGCGGCGCGGCCGCTCAGCCCCCAGGGCCCGCCCGGCCCGCGCCCATGCACTCGGAGGAGCCCCGGCCGGCCGAGGGCGAGGGAAGGTCCGGGCGCTCCTGCCGCCGCCGCCGCCGGCCGCTGGCGAACTTGCGCTGCAAGTTGGGAGGAAAGTGCCGGCCGGGGCCGGGGAGGGAGCCGGGCGCGGGCGGCGCGGCGCGCGGGGGAGGGCGGACCGGGCAGGGGGCGGGGCCGGCGCGCTCCAGGGCTCGGGCCGCACGGCGGGCAGGGGGCGGGGCGCGCGCTGGGCTCCCGAGCGCTGCCCGGAGGGCGGGAGGGGCAGGGGGAGGCGCGCGCTCCGGCACCCGCGCGGCCGCCGGGGGCTAGAGGGGCTAGGGGCGCTCGGGGGCAGGGGTGCGCGCCCGGGGCTCCCCCCGAGTGGCCCCGAGGGCGGGAGGGGGAGAGGGCCGGCACGCGCACGGGACCAGTGCCGCCGGCCAGGCATGGGCGTGCGCGCTCGGCACTGCCCCACTAGTTACCCAGAGGGTGGGAGAGGGCGAGGGCCGGCGCGCGCACGAACCTGTGCGGCTCGCCGGATGCAGGCGCGCGCTCCGGCCCCCCCGCCCCAGTTACCCGGAGGGTGGGAGGGGGCCGGGGTGCGCGCTCCGGACCACGCGCGGCGCCGCGGGGTCGGGGGGCGTCGGGCTGCTACGCGATGTCCGGCCCTTCCTCCCGCGCCAGCGCCGGGCGGCCCTGGGAGGCTCGGGGCGCGCCAGCTCTCCGCCCGGGAGGCCGAGTCGCGGCAGGTGAGGCGGCGGAAGCGACCGCGCGGGGCGGGCCGGGGCGGGCCGGGGCGGGGCGGGCGGGCGGGCGGGAGGGCTGCGGTCCGAGTCCCCGGCGCCCTCCATCTTGGAGCGCGCGGCCGGCCCGGCGCCCCCCCGCCTTTGTTCGCGCGGACGGCGGGCTGCCGGCGGCCGCCCAGGTGAGACCGGAAGCGCAGCGGGCGGATTCGCGCGGGTCCGTGTGCCACCAGCCTGATCCCGCACCCGCGCGCTTTGCCCCCGGGCCCGGGCTTGGGGCTGGGGGGGCGGGCCCGGGAGCCCTCCACGCACCTACACACTGCCCCGGCCCTCCCCGAGCGCCTCCTCCGCAACGCAGCCCGGGCCAAAGCGCTGGCTCTGGGAGGGTGCTCGGGCGCCTGGCTTGTTCTCAGGAAGGACTGCCCATCCTCCCACAAATTCCCTGCTGCAGCGCCCAGCCCAGAGAAGGAATAGCTTGCCTCTTGGCCCTTCCCAGCTCTTTTTGGTTCTTCCTATAGTTCCAGTCCAGGAAGTCTTTGCATTCAGAGCCTGTTCTCGCTTTGGTAGAGCAGTGCCACGAGGTCTTAGTGTCCCACGTCTGCGTTGCCTACAAAGGAGAGGTGGTGGTCTGAAAATACTGGAAGGGTGTGCCACCTATTTTCTGCCCCTTTTCAATTTACATCGAAGTTGGGTATAAAGAAATACTCGCACTGCTAGGTATTTGCATGCTTCTCAAAACAAATCTTTTTTTTTTATTTCGTTTGTAGTTACGTAGCTGGACGCTGGTGATTGCCTGTTTCTTCAAAGCAGCTCCATCCAGGTACTTTGAGCCGGTGAGGATGGAATAGGCAGCAAAAAAAGCTCAGAGACCACTGGTCAGAAAGAGTGAGGGGTTCCTGTCACTGTCGAGCAGGGACAAGGAATCTCAACTCCGGTCTCCGTTTCTTCAGTGGTCACGTGAGGGATTTCCATTCTGTGGTCTGCATCTTGTGGCCGATCCTTTTGTGCCTCATCCAGGCAATTGAAGTAAGAGTGCAAACTTCACTGGGCACTTGTCATGGCCCTGAGCAGTGATTAGTGCCCCATAAGTAACTTCCAAGCTACAGTGTCCAGAATGTCTCGTTAGGGGGATGAGGTGATTTTTTTTTTTTTTTTCTTTGTAAACGGAGACTTAAGGAGTGTGCAATCCATCCTAAGTGTACCTTGACTGTCCTGGTGATGCAAATCTGCACAAATTGATTAAATTGCACAGAACTAAATACACAGGAGTACGTGTAAAATGAGGAAATCGAAGTAAGCTGCGTAGATTGTATCTGTTAATATTCTGACTGTGAGGTGCAGGGCAGAGGATGTTTGTTGTTTCTATATTGTTTCTTAAAACCACATTGAATCTGTAATTATCTTCAGATAAAAAGTTTAAAAACTGGACAGATAATGAGAAACCAAAAGAGAGAGGACCATATAAATGCACCTAGAATTTTTGTAAGTTCCCTAGTCTCAAAACAGCTCCCCCACCCCTCCCCTGTGGTATTAACTGAAATCTCAGCTGTTAACTGGGGCTGAAATTCAGACCACTCGATTCACTAAAGCAGAGACAAAGATTTCCTTGTCTCCATAAATCACAGAGTCGTCTTTAACATTTTATGTTGATTATATGAGATTACCTATCTACCACTTGAAACGGTTACAGTGTTCATTCCTTAAATGTAGGGGCAGGTTTACACTTATCCTTACTAAATTACCATTTTGCTGAGTTTTTTCTTAATCTTCACATTAGGCATCTCTCCTGGATTAGCATTACTTGAATATTTATAAGGCTGCTGTCTATATAGACATTAATAAATACGCCAAAAAGAACTAGACCAAGTCCGTGTGGCCTGCTTTGAGATAGATGCCCTCCTCTCAGACCCTGTTCAATTCTTTCATTGACACTTTTGGGTTTATATAGCTGAGCATATCTACTCTCACACCTAGACTTCTGTATCATGTCCATTAAATCCTTATTAGACACTATCACATATCTTGGAAAATACCAGTATCTTGTGACCGAAGGTCATTGCCCCAATTTATTAACCCTGCTCCCCTTTTGGAAGAGTTGGGTAAGACACTGAACCAGTGTGGACTTAAGGTGGTGATGGCTTTCTTTTCTAAGAACGCAACTCAGCCACTGTCACTGTCGAGCAGGGATTTTCCAAGGATGGCATATATTTGTCAACATCTAGCTTTTTCTTTTGGAAAGCCAGGGTCAAATATCTTCTGACTATTCTCAGCATTTCGCTTCTTGGACGTTCAGCTTCATTGCTCGGAAGACCCGAGGGTGAGCATATACTCTTCTGGACCTGTAGAGCATGATCCTATGACCATCTGTATCTAGGCATTCAGTAGCCTTGGGTACGCCACGTTTTCAGATCTGAGGCTTACTTCCTTTGATGGAGAGGAGCTAGGTGAGATTAAAGGTAGTTCTTTTAGGCGCCTGGCTGGCCCAGTGCATAGGGCACGTCACTCTTAATCTCGGGGTTGTGAGTTTAAGCCCCATGTTAGATGTGGAGATAACTTAAAAATAAAGGTAGTTCTTTCACTTTATCAATAGTGAATGAATCAGTCAATGAATAAAAGGCACATTGAACCAGCTTTCAGCTTTCCTTCTTATGAAAGAGAGTTAGGATTATCTTAGTTTTTTTGTTCTAACAAGAAAAGAGATTTATAATTATAAAATGTAGTGGAGGATGGACTTCCAAAATTTTGCCTTTATCTTTCAGACTGGTAGCTCAGGATGGTCAAGCTTTCCAGAACATCTGTGGCAATTTTTTAAAAGGCAGTTTCAGCCATTTTCTACTTGAGCCACTGTGTGTCTGAGCACACGTGTGAGGACAGCTAAAGGAAGACATTGACGCAGTGGCTTTGCCCTTCATCACCATCATCATTATATTGTCGTCTTGATTCCTACAATCGAATAATAGAAACCTTGGAATTTCACTTAGCTGCCGATCTTGGCCCGGTGACAGAAGCTGAATGCTGCACAACTCTGCGCCCATCGCCTCCCCCTCTCACCTCAGAAGGATTTTACCCTGGATCTTGTTGTTAGGATATTTACAGATCTCTAGGGCAAAGACCCACTCTTTCTGTGCAGGGATGGGAGGGAGACTTCGGGGTCTTTACTTAGGACTGGCACCATTATCCTGTTCATGGACTCCACATTGGGAGTTTGCATCCTACAGCACTCAGCACCTTTAGTGGAGGAAGCAAGGAGTTAGCAGCTAAGGAGTGATCACCATTCACAGGGAACCTGTTTTGTGCCAAGCACGTTACATAAATGGACTCAGGTCCACAGCTTCTTAGAGCATGCATCACCCCATTTTACAGAGGAAGAAACTGAGCCCCAAAGCGGCTTAAATACCCTGCTTGAGGTTGCTGAGCCCAGTCTTAAGAAGGACTCCTATCCTATCCCTTGCAGGGACCAGTGCCAGATTGGATATGGCAGAGGGCAGTTTTCACCAAGCTGGTGAGTTGGCTTTCCTCTGTAAGACATTGAGACGGTGAGCCACCTTTTGAGGTTCCCTTGATCTCTGAACAGGAAAGACGCTGAAGCCTCCTATGTGGAAACTTTGCCTATAAAACTGGATGCTAATTTAGGTTTGGTTGAGTTCCAATCCTGTTTCCTTGGAGACATGTCCTTTAAAGTATGTGTAGGGGGTGCCTGAGTAGCCCATTAGGTTGAGCTTCTGACTCTTGATCTCGTCTCAGGTCTTAATATTTAAGAAATACACATATAAAATAATACCTAATTTTTCAGATTGGGAGTGTTTAGAGAGCTACTATTTTAAAAGTGCTTATATTTTAAAATGGAGTTTTCGGGGCCACTGGGTGGCTGAGTCGGTTAAACATCCGACTCTTGATTTTGGCTCAGGTCATAATCTACAGTTGTGAGATCAAGACCCGTGTTGGGCTCTGTGCTCAGTGCAGAGTCTGTCAGTGCAGACTCTATCTCTTTAAAATGCAGTTTTAGAAAGCCACTGGCTATTTTTCACTTTTTATTTTTTTATAAAGTAGCCAATAAGTACTTCTTGAGCACTTTCAACTTGCCCAGTACTGGGGAGTGGTCGCTAAGGAATGTAAAGGATGCAGGAAATATGAAACATTAACCCTAGCTAATGAAGAAAATATACTAGGAAAAAAAAAACAGCACAATTACGTGCAAAACGACTT